CTCCGCATGCCAGGATTGGGGAAGAGCTAGGAATGTGCAGAAAATATAAAGCTGGTAAAAGAGAAGTAATCACTTCCTTTGTGCAGGCAAGTTATTAGACTGAGACATCTGTGGCGTGAGGGACTGAGTTTAGCATATGGATTGGGGTTCAGTCCCAGTTCTCCACCTGGGATTGGACATCCCACTGTACTAGTGTATCTGGTGGCTCAGGGTGAGGGCAAGGGGTGAGTACCTATTAAGTAATAGCTCTGTGCCAGTAAACGCTGAGTGCTCTATTTCATTAACTCCTCCAAGCCCGTTTCCTCAGGTATGAAATGGAAATAACACCATCAGTGTGCTATGTGGATTAAGTAAGGTAACAGGGGTGAAAGTACACTGTACATTGTTATATTAATAGAACTAGAGTATTAGTGCAATGACGATTGTAGTTAGCCATCAGACTTGGCCTCAGACAGACTTGGGTTCTGATTCTGGCTAAATTACTTACTAGATTTCCTCTAGGATTATGAGATATGGGCATATTGTCAGCACTAGCTGGTGAGAGTGCTACAACTACAGGAGACTAAGCACGTAAGAGAGTGGTCAGCAAAGTGCTCGGCACATAGTAAGTACTTGATAAACCGTAACTGCTTTTAAAGATGGCAATGCTTCTTGTTAATATTCTTTAAAGAGATCAGGTCTTTGCCATAGATTTCATTAACAGACCCCAATCATTAGAAACGTCTGGTGGGAAACTGGTTTAAGTTTGGGTCCTGCAGAGGAAGTCTGAGTCTCATCCCGACAGCAGAAGTGAGCGGCAGGCGGTGAAAGCGGAGCAGCGGCCACCACTCCCTCCGAAGACAGGCAGCTGAGCTGGCCCGGGGCTGGGATCCCGGTCCCCTGCTGTGCGAGGACCACGGAGGCCGAGTGGCCGGCCGCGTCCTGTGGACTCAGCAGCACAGCTGGGTGGATGCGCACACAGACACTCACCAATTAGAGGAACCTGCCACCCGGGGCAAGGCGACCTCAGCTCTGACTGACAGGACGGGCGAGCGGAGGCGGTCATCCGTCACTGTCAGGGAGTATCTGAAGCACCTAGCTGCTCAGTTGAAATAAAATAAATTATTTACTGATCTGAGGGTCCAGCTGATCACTTGAGTGCTCATAAAGGGTGTGCTGCTTGCCGCCATTCGCTCTGGCGGATTCTGTTCCAGGAAGGAAGGGTTTCTGGATTGCTGTGTGCAGGTGTTTGTTGTAGTCAGAATTAAAGGAGGTTAGTACCTGCTTTGTGAGAAGGGAGACAGGGTCTTAGGCTACGTATCTGAATTCATTCATGGGAATAGGAAATGAGTGTATTTATTCACTTCATGGTACGGGTCTCAGGGCACAGTGTATCTGTCAAAAAAGTTCTTAGGACTAATTAATGCAGTTTCTACTTACAATGCTAAAGATTGAACTTAATGCATAAGAGAAACAGTCTGACGTTTTGGAAGCATCTCCATCCAAGAGCCGGATGCTCCACCAGGGGGAGCCATGCGCACCACTGGAAGCTTCCAGAGTGGCTGGGACCTGGCCTCTGGTCACTTCTTTTCTGAGAACCTCTGCTCTAGGGAGGGACGCTTGTATCATTGTCATCCATTTCTACCTGAGGCGTCTCCACGGTGGCTACAACAGAGCCACTTCCTAACCGGAGTGATCTGGTTACATGTTTTCAAGATGGTGGACTAGGAGAGGAAGTAAGAAGCAAAATAAATGTTACTGACAATAATAACACTACAATAAGCTACCATGGAGAGTACAGCGTCTACGGGCCACTTGCATACAATCCTGAAAGGTAAATGTGATCCACATTTTTTAAATGACAAGAACTAAGACGAACCAGGGGGAGGGACGTGTCCAAGGTGACGCTGCCGGTAAGCAGTGATGCTGGGATTCAAACCCAAGCTCCGCTCTTCTCACAGATCCTTCTCTGGATCTTTTCTGTCTTTCTTTTGTTTTATTTAATATTTTAATTGATTTTTTACAGAGAGGAAGAAAGAGGGATAGAGTGTTAGAAACATTGATGAGAATCATCAGTCAGCGGTCTCTTGCCCACTCCCTACTGGAGATGTGCCCACAACTAAGGTACATGCCCTCGATTGGAATCAAACCTGGGACCTCTCAGTTCGCAGGCCGACGCTCTATCCATTGAGCCAAACCTGTTTCGGCTCTCTGGACCTTTTCTTTTATGTTTTTCTTTTCTTATTTTTTAATTTTGAAAAAGAAAGAGAGGAACATAGATTTGTTGTTCCACTTATTTATGCATTAATTGGTTGACTCTTATACGTGCCCTGACCGGGGATTGAACCCGCAACCTTGGTATATCAGGACAACGCTATTACCAGCTGAGATACCCTGCCAGGGCCCCTGGGCCTTTTCCTTTAAATAAATATACAGGCTGGAATCTGATGAATTAGTTTGGCTTTTAGCCTTGAGACAAAGTTAGGGGGAAGAAGCCCACAAACCAAGTTTGCACTGCTTTTTCACCGTGGGGATCAGTGGATTTTCTGATTATGCTCACCTGGGAAAACCTGTGCCTTCCCTCCTGGACCTTTATCTTGGCTGCACTCTGGCTGTTTACTGAGCTTCTTAAAACTGAACCCACTTAGAGAAAACAGACCCTTTGTTACTGGGAAGGCACTGCATTCAGGCACACGCAAACTGGATATCTGAGTAGCATCCTTATTTTAGTAAACTTTTCTAAAAACCGGAAATATACCAACGGAAAGTACATAAATCATAAGCGTATGTATGCTTGACTTTCCCACAAAGTCTATAGACTCATGTAATCAGCACCCAGATAAGGCACAGAACTTTTTTTTTCTTTTTTAAAATATTTTATTGATTTTGTACAGAGAGGAAGGGAGAGAGATACAGAGTTAGAAACATCGATGAGAGAGTCATCGATCAGCTGCCTCTTGCACACCGCCTACTAGGGATATGCCCGCAACCAAGATACATGCCTTGACCAGAATAGAACCAGGGACCCTTCAGTCCCCAAGCCGAAGCTCTATCCATTGAGCCAAACCAGTCTCGGGAAGGCACAGAACTTTATCATTGTCCCAGAAGCCCCTCCAGTCTGAGCTCCCAGGATAACCACCACCATTACTTCCATACAGATTATTTTTGTGTATTTTTTAACGCCACATAAATGGAATCATACAGTTTGTACTTTTGCCCCCCTTCCTGGACCTGATTTTTTTCTGAGCAGTCTTTTATTTTTATTTCTAGGAGACATCCCAGGAAAAGCATCCCCAGGAAGAACACCTCTGAAGAAACTTTATGTTTTAAGAATCAACATTAAACAAGCTTTTTTTTTTTTTAAACCACTTTAGAGATTTAGTTTTTTGTGGGAGGGAGAAACAGTCTAGAGAGGGGGAAGAAGAGCGGGTTCTTTGTTTTGGTTCAAAGTCCCTGGGTGCTAACTCATGTACTGAGTTTGCTGGAATCACCATCCTCTCAGCAGCTGACGTTCGCTGAGCACTTGCTATGTGCCAGCTGCCTTGCTAAGCATTCTGCATGTGCTATGACACTGCCCACGATTACCCCATCTCTGCGGTAGGGACTGTTATCTTCATTTTACAAAAGTGGAGACGGAGATTCGGGGTCATCTGCCTGTGATGATATAGCCAATAAGCGAGCCAGGCTTTGGACCAGGCCTCTAAGTCCTGTCTGTCCTCGGAAGTGTTTGCTGAGCAGCCGCCAGGCCCGTGCTCAGGGCTGTGTGGGGGCCGCTGGCTTGTCCCAGGCGGAAGCGGTGCCACTAACACTCTCACTCACGCAGAATGGAGCTGAGCTCGGAGAGGTGAAGACACTGCCTACCAGGGCTGCTACTGATGCAGCCACAACGTAAACCAGTTGTGATCCTGACGCTCATCTTTTCGTTACTAAGCTGTACTGGCAGCATACTTCTAGCTCCTGTCAGTCAAGCTGGGAAGAAATTATTAAGGTATTTTTCAGGCCTTATTACAATTAGCCAGACTAATGCCAACATTAGAAGAGGTTTTATGATGAGACACATACGAAGCATTTATGAGAACCGTACGTCTTATAAAAGAGTTAGACTCCAAGCCTTCTCCCTTATGCAGAGGCCCAGGCAGGAGCAGAGTGGCAGAGGTCAGCGGCAGTCCAGCTTTCTGACTAAGCCGGGCGTCCGCCCAGGCTCCCCCTCCTCCCACCATCTTATTAGGGAGCAGGTGCTCTCACATTGGCCAGACCAGGGCTCTGGTCCTGACACCACCAACCTACCTGCCGTGTGAACTTGAGCTCCCCTTCACCTCTCTGTCCCTTATCTACCTTCTCTGTGAGGCGGGAACGATACACAGCCTACCTTCTCGGTGGTTAAGTGGTGCATGTGAAACACTCAGCACAGTGTCTAATACTCAGCGGACACCTGTCCAGGACAGCCATGACAATGAGGTATTCATAGTTTGTTGACTGCTATGACATTTCCCCCTAATCCTGTTAGGTTTAAGTCAAAACAGAAATTTAGCATTTGATTGGAACACATTAACCACCAAATATTAGTTGAAAGTTAGTTCTGCATTATCTGGTGAGAACGCAAATACAACTTCTGAGATAACTATAAAGCTTCCCGAACAAGTAAGTGCATGAGTGACTGACTAGGCAACGAGTCCACGGAGCAGGGAAAGGCACGGGGCAGTGCTAGAAGCGGGCTCAGCATGGCAAGTAAGAGGATTACAGAATGAGAAGAGTTATGGAACTGCGCACAAGTCAATCGGTTCGAAAAGAGTCTCGAGTTAGTTCTATTTCTAATCTTCTGCTTCATAAAAAAGAAGACAAGACAGAGCGCTCGGCTGGGGAAAAGGAGGTACTTTAAATTTCATTGTTTAAACATTTTCTCTGAAAACAAATTACCGCAGCCGTTCGGGTCACAGAAGAGCGGTATGCTGTTCCTTTCCCCATCTCCGCCCTGACCACTGATATGAAGGGCTCACTTCATCACCGGTCCGTGCACTTACCTAACTGCACGTCGGTGGTGAATCGCAGTCTGTGGATCATGCTGACTTTGAATGACTTGTAATGGTGGCTGCTGAGCATATCCTGTACTGTAGCTATGTCAATCTGCGAATCCTCCTCAAAAACCCCGTCTGCCCTTGAACCTGGGGAGGAAGAAAGCAGTTTAGCACATAAAGATACATGAGGCTTGGCAAATGTTGTCTGCTTAAAATGCTTTGGGATAAATTAAGATAATATGGGCTATTTAATTTGGAGAAGAAAAGGCTGAGCGATGACTTAATAATGCCATTCCAGTAAACAGAGGACGGTAGCATATTAATCATTCAACAATTAATTCCACAAACACGGCCTCTTCCGTGGCGGGCCCTGGGCCAGGCGGCGGGGATCCCGAAGGTGAGAAACGCTCCTGTTCCCCGGCAGCTCTTGGGTCTCCACGGGAGAAAGTCAAAACCACAAAGCAGAAGTGGCCACATTTTTTCATTTCTTTTTCTAATATTAATTTTCCTCATCATGAAAGTAACCCCTACTTCTTGAAGAATCCCTTCCTTTCTGAGATTCTCAAATATCAGCCTGCCGTCCTGTGCCCGTTTCCGCGGGTGCAGGCACGAGCCAGCTCACCCGCGATGGCTGACAGCCTCCCGCTGGCCTGCTGGCCACCAGGCTGCCTCTGCACTCCAGCCGCCACAGGCTTCCCCATTCATCGCTCTACGGCTTTGATCATTTATTCACTCATCGAATGTTCAGTGAGAGCGCTGAGCATGCTAAGTACTCTGGCGACAAGGAAGACAACTGGTACTGAAAAACCGTCCCTGGCTTTCCTGAACGATGCACACCTTTTTTCAGCCAAGCAGGCAAGACTGTCCGTAATCTGGCCGAAGCAAACATTTTCAATTTCACTTGTCACTCCTCACACACACCTTCTCTCAGCAGCTCCCAGACTCCCCAGGCTGCATGCAGATGCAGGTTTTTCTACTTCTGGGCCTTTGCTCATGCGGAACCCTTGGCCTAGAACGCGCTTTCCACCCTTACCCTGTACCTGTCCCCCCCAACCCCGCCAGGCAGGCTAGCCCAAACTCCGCCTTCTGCTGAATTCCATTCCCACTGGGTCCAGGGTGACCTGGGCTCAGTTCCTAGCTCCGCCTCTCACTTGCTGCATGACCTATGGCAAGCGACCGGATCTCTGAACCCCCGTCTTTGCCATACACAGAATGTCTAAGTGTGCTTTAAAAACACATACTACACTTAATAGGTAGCAGTCATGATCATTTTTATTCTACTGTCATAGAGGATCACATCCAGCCTGGCACTGGAGCTGCTGAGTGGTTGTGCTTGTCCTAATTCGGAAGCACTGTGAGGGCCAGTAAAGTGTGTTCTTCATTTCAGTAAGCCGTCCAGATAACTGGTATGCTTTCACTAAACTCTGCTAAATAATTAGATAATCAAGCAGAAGCTAGGGCATATGAGTGCTTTGCTCATCTGAGGCTTTGGGAATCCGAGGCTTCTGAGGTGAAGTCACACGTCCAAGGTCACACTAACCGAAGCTACACTTTCTCAGCCTGTGGAGTGGGAAATGTGTCATCCTGAAGGTGCAGCTGCTGGTGCCACTCGCCAGGGGGAGGGAGACCTGCTAGCAGAGGCCAGCAGCCAGGGAGCCCTAGGCCTTGCACTGAGCAGCTGGAGTTGGGTCCACAGGAAGAGCCAGAGAGAACCCCTTGGGTAGAGTTGGAGTGGTTAAAACTCAAGATTTGGGTACAAGACAGGAACATCTGTTACCCAACTGGTAGACTGACCACTACATGCTTTTCCTTCCCACAGTATTGCTTACAGAATGAGCTTTTTCTTTTTGTAAATCCTCAACCAAGGACACGTTTTTATTGATTTGAGAGAGAAACAATGATGTGAGAGAGAAACATGGATTGGTTGTCTCCTGTACACGCCCTGACCAGGGATTGAACCCACAACTTAGGTATGTGCCCTCACCGGGAAATGCACCCACAACCTTTTTGGTGTGTGGGAACAACGCACCAAGCAACCGAGCCACCCGGCCAGAGCTTCAGGGTGAGCTTTTAGGTCAAAGTTGGCTCTTGCTGCCTTCCCCTGAACCCGTTCGAGAGTGCACTGGCTTTCCAGACACGGCGCTTATTTCCAGCCTGGACCACACCGGCCACCACAATAATCCTTCCTCTCACCGAGGACAAGCCTTGCCCTCAGCGGCCATTCATGGCCTGCCCGTGACACTGTTGGCACATGCTGCCCTCTCTGCCCAGGTCACCCTGCTCCTATTCCCCCCCCCCCATCCTATTCCTCCAGGCGCCTCCCTATTCTTCCTGACACTCAGGCCCCCAAGTATAGTTCAGCTCCCCTGTCGCTGCACCCCCATTTTCCTTCAGAGCGAGTAAGGACCTATCTGCCATTGGACTGTCACCCCAAGAGGGCAGGCACGGTGGCTGCTTTACTGGCCCTTGTAGCCCAGGCCCTGCCGGGGCTGCCATGCACAGGGTAGGGCAAGTGCTCAACAAAACGTACTGGACGAATACCAGGTGCCAGGTCCCCAGGAAGGCGAGGATCAGAGGCAGAGGGCCTTCGCCAACGTCACCTGGCAAGGATGAGCAGAGCTGCACCCAGCGTCTGCCAGGCCACTGGGAACCCTGCTTCCTGCTGTGGGTCGCCTGTGATTCTGGACAGAGATGCCACCATCAGGACCACCCACCTCCTGGGGGCTATGCACATCTCTAACGGAGACGCTGGTGGGAACTTAGATTTGAATAATCATTCACCTTCTCCAATGCATATCTGGCTGAAACAGAACTGCCAAGATGCGTTTATTTTGATGTTAGAGCCTTTTATATATATGAGAACTGTGGAGAAGTTTGATGAAATATTAAAATCCTTTCACGTTTTAAAAATAATTTAAAGCCATCTTTTTTGAGAAAATGCTATTATTAGGTATAACTTAGTTCAAGAATTTCTGTTTTCTTTATTAATAAGTATTTTCTAAATATTGAAGATTCTTGATGTGGAAAAAGATAACAGCTAATTATACTAAAATGCCAATTACTAGAAAAAACACACCCCCTCCCCCAACAAAAACCCCACACAGAAACCAAAACAACACACCACACTTAAGAGTTTTACATTTTATGATGTTGGATTAAAACCAATTTAAAAATTACTATAACGTGACATATAATTTTTTACTGAGCAATTTCAATGCCAGCTGCTAATAAAGCATCTTAGCTGTAAATGATAATTCAGATGCTTTTAGATAAAGTGGTGCATAAATATAGTTGGAAATTGATTTAGCTTCTTCCAGAAGCTACTGAAGAATGACATATTTTGTTTAATACACCAGCTAATGTAGTCCTAAAAGCTCAAACAAGTGCCAGTTTTCACTCCTAAATTTGCTGGGGGAGATTAATGAAAACTTTATATTTTGCTGAAATGTTAATAATGGGCAGAGGAGACGATGGGATTTTAGTGGAGGTCTTAAAGCTATGGAATAACCAGCAAGGCTTGTCAATTTCCTTATATTAATTTTGTCCAAGACTGATGTCGCTGGAGCTGGCTCAACACACTAATGCTTCTTGCATTGACCTTCTACTTTCTCACAGTGTAAATTCATGTCCCGTGTGAGGATCTGGGTCCCCTGATACTTGGGTGAGCTCTGAGTCCTCCCCCAGCGGACAAGGGGCATGTTTGCTTTCATGATCAGAAGGGCATCAGCACCTGGGGGAGCAGAGAAGGAAGAAACAGCCCTGCACACACTCCCAATACATGCGCTCACACCAAAGCGGGCCATCTGCTGGATGGAACCACTTCTGGCCTGGGACTTCCAGAGCCTTTCTCAGCGTAGGTTCAGGAGTGTTGCTTGGAGGGGCAGGTGTGTGTGTGTACGGACCAGCCAGCCTGCGACCTGCCCCACCCTCAGGCGAGCGGCATGCTAGACCTCGGAGGCACACGGGTGAGGTGAAGGCAGGATTCCTGATCTTCAGGAGCTTACAGACTTGCTGTGAAACACAAAGAAAACAGTGAGAAATGCCCAACAAACGGTTCAGGCAGCAGACTCTACCTAAAGACAAACGTCTGAAGCAGGCCATTACCCCAAAAGCATGTTTTCTGGGCCAGGAGAGTCTATGACTGCATACGCTCCTTTCCTGTTTACGTCCTTCCAGGAAGGGGCAAACCCAGCCACCCATGAATACACTCGGCACTGCCCCGTGTGCAGATTAAAACTATTACTGTGCTACCAGCTTCACATCTAAAACCCACTCCTGCTCAAGAGAAGACTTTTTATCTACTCAACGTAAAAAGTAGAGAGAACCAGAATGTCTTAAAAATAAATATATGAACAAAAAAACACTCCCCAAACTGTTAATTTAATTGAAACATAACCCTTTGGTATTTTGTTAAATTAGCAATTAAGAAGGTCACAAGCAATTAAGTGAAACAAAAGCCACACTGTGCTCATCTACATTAATGCTGAACTGGGTCTCCTGGTGAATGACAAGATGAATTGTAATGGTGCCTTCAAAGACTTCATGATGTACTTTGTCAAAGTCGGGAGTGTTAATGTCTCTATGTGCCATGGATTACCATAATGTATTGTGTCAAAACGCTCGAGCTGCAATAACTCAAAGATGTATTGTGATAGATCAAATTTTGGGGCGGGGCCTAAACGTGACACAAGCACCAGATCTCAAATGGTCTGACAACAGGCTCCGGAAGAATGACAACGTGGAATGGTGCAAGGGACAGCAGAAACCCGAGGCGAAGAAGCTCAGCTCTCAGAGTAAGGAATTAGCAAGGAGGAAACAGGCAATGGCACTGCTCTGAATGGCAAAGCCGGACCAGGGCAGGATAGGACCAAGGAAAGCAGAGATGAGGTGAAGGAGAGGACAGGGGAAGTCTAGGGCTCGCAGCCAGAAAGAAAGAGGTGCTGAGAGAGAGACAGCCAAGGGCTGGGAAGTGGCCTTGGGGCTTAATAACACTGGAAAGAACGAGACACAGAGTTCAGAGATGTAGGTTTAAGTCTTAACTCTGACACTACGGGTCAAGAGTGGATCAAAGCCTTGCCCAAGATTCTCTGGCCGGCAGAGGCAGAGCTGGGACGGATCTATTGGACTCTGGGGTCCACCATGTTCTG